TGCCCATGGGACATCCATTCTGCAAAGGAAGGGACTTTGCAAAGGGCAACAGCAAGGGAGAGGTGAGACCTCTTCGTGCACCAGGCCTTAGGGGAGGGAGGGGGCTGCGCTCTGCTGGGCAGGCACCAGCAGTGGGCTTGGAGTCGGACGCACACACGTGTGGGCATGTGTGTGGTGGCACACGTGTCTGGGTAGGAAAGTTCGGACACCAGAAAAGAGCTTGGTGTCTAGTGGGACTGACTGTTACTCAATGAAAATGATGTACTGTTGTAGTAGGAAACTTCAAGAGGCAAAGGAGCTAAGAATTGGTCACTTAGAGATGGCAGAGTATGGATGAATTCTTCTGGGTCTCTTTCTGTTATCTCTGTTCAGAAGTGCAGCATGTTTCCCACATTCTTCTGTAGGCATTTGCATATGGCATGATGGTCCCAGAATAGCGGTGCTTTAGCCAGATTACCCAGGTTGGCCTACATTGTGGATTAAGAAAGCAGTGCCCACCTGGGGCCCTGCTGGAAAGCTGCCCAGGCTGGGTGTCCCTCAGCAGAGTGGTCTGTCCCTCCTAGGCCTCACTGCTGGTCTGCTGGCCACCGACTGCTCCTTGGGGACTTCCACACCTTACCAGGCAGCCCGAGGACACAGCCCTGCAGGGCCAGGCCAGCTCACCACATGCCCTCCCGGAATCTCCTTCTGCATACCTCCCAGCTCCCCTGCTCAGTGTCCACCTCAATTCCCATCTTCTGAGGCTCCCGAAGCACCTGACCTTCCTCAGCGCGTTTTGCTCACGTGGCTGGGTGGGGAGGTGTGCTTCTCTGGGGTGAGGAGCAGCCCTTTCCCTCCGTGCTGGGCAGGTGGTGCTGGCTGCGCTGGCAGGGATTTAGTGCTCAGAGGGTGAGGCACAGGCAGGGATTACCAGTCTCCAGCCAGCTCATCCAGAGCAGCCCCAGGCTGAGTACAGAGGCTGTACCCCACCCAGAAGGTAGGTCCTGTGTGAAGGGTGTTGGGGTGGTCTAACGAGCACAGAGCTGGCTAAGCTGATGCCCCCCAGAGCTCCCCAACTCTTCCTACCCTCAGTGTTCTCACTTGTGGCAGGTGTATGAGCCCTGTGCTGTGAGCTGGGAGGGTGGCCCCCACTGCTCTCCTTACTGGCTTCATGAGACTCAAGTATCAGAGAGGTAGGTCAGGAACCTGGTCCCTCGAAGTCAGCCCCTCACTTTTCAATGGAAGTTCCCAGAACAGGGCTTGGGTTCTACTGACCTTGACCAAGGGCACCTCTGGGGCTTGGTGCCAGGAGATGCAGGAATGGGGACCCAGACATGCCCCTCCCAGGAGCCAAAGTAGGAGGGGACGGCTGGGGCGGCCGCATGCTCGTGGTGAGTGCATGTGTTACCAGGTAGCCCGCCCCAAAGGAAGGCACGGCTGGAGCCTGAGCATGGCTCTGAGTGACTGCCCACAGCTCTGCCCAATTCCTGGGGTGAATTAACTTGGGGCAGAGATGGGGGCACTGCAGCCACCTCACCCACTTCCATAGGAAGCAGGTCCCTCAGGCCCTGCTCATTATTTGTCCCCCGTCACCTATAGGGATGTCAGGACCAAGGCCTGTTGTCCTGAGCGGACCCTCGGGGGCTGGGAAGAGCACCCTACTGAAGAGACTGCTGCAGGAGCATGGCAGCATCTTCAGCTTCAGCGTGTCTCGTGAGGCCCCAGGGGAGGTGGGGGAGGGTCTCAAGGATGCTGGGGGCAGGGACCCCTGCTGACATGCCCTGGAGCCCCCCCCCACGCCCCCAGAAGGGTGGAGCCAGGCCCTGTGGGAAGGCCCGGGGGATGGATGCATGGGGCTCCAGGTGTCCAGGTCAGTCACAGGTATTTGTTCCCAGACACCACGAGGAACCCGAGGCCAGGAGAGGAGAACGGCAAAGGTGAGCTCAGCCAGCCGGCCTCAGCGCTCCAGCACAGGGCTGGAGCAGCCCTCCACCTGTCGTGATGCATGAGGCCTCCCTATCCCCATCTGCTGTGTGGGTCCCTCTTCCGGGCGGGGTGGGCATAATTAGGAACCAGGCATCAAGGTGCATGCTGGTGCCCAATGTCCACATGAGAGGCTGGGTGGGGGCCCTGATCCCAGCACGAGGCAGCTGAGGGGCCCCTTTCCTCAGTGTGTGCTGCCCATGCTGTGTGGTTGAGATCATAGCCATGCACCATATAGGGCTCTCTGGCATC